AATGTATTTAAATATCTAATAAAACTACTCCTAGGTGAAAATTTAAGTACTAATGATTTTGTTTTGTTGCTTTTCTTATGATATTTTATTATTCAAATTGCACTTGAATTGGATAGCAATAAAATTCTCAGTAGATCTGGTGGGCAGAGATCATAGTTCTTTGTGGTTTGGTCATCATGGTTTCATTTTTCCTAGGATTATTTTCAAATGCTAGATGTAAGGAATGACAGAGTGGATATGTTAAAAGATGGAGAGGATTATTAAGTTATTAATGCTGTGTACTTCAGTCAGCGTTTGGTAATAGGGATGGTTTGGGTTACTGTATTCGGAAAATAAAGTTGGTTACCACCATTAACTTAAGGGCTGCTCAGAAGGTAATGCCTCCTATTTTATTATGTTGATCCACAACATCAGAGGTGGATGTTGGCAGTGTGGCAGTAGAGGTGGAATACCGGTTATTCTGTTACGTTTTGTTGTCATGTGACAGATGGAAGCAGAGGAACAGTCTGACACTAAAGTGTACATTGAAGCAGTGGTGGGGAATTCAATTCCACCATGTGGAAAAAATGGCACCCCTTGACATTCATCAGTGCTTGCCGGATGTTCATGGAGGCTGAACAGTGGATGTCTAAAGGCTAATGTCAACACAATTACATGTTTTAGTCTTTTCTACTTTATTCTTCAAATATGTCAGACAAATATTTGAGGTAAGAATAGTATCTTCAATTAGTAAATTCATAAAAGCACATAGTGACATTCTTAGTTACGGGCAAAAAAAAAATTAGATACAGTACATGGGTCTAAGCTAGTCCGCTGCTTGCATTTCTTCTTTTTTCCAAGAAATTTGTCTTTAGCACATACGATTTCTCAGGCTTCAATGACAAGATGACAAACATATGTATTTCTTAATTATTTGTAAACCGTAGTAATGATACGCAGAAAATATTTAATAAAAAATAATTAAAGAATTACACTCCACCTGTATTGTACTACAGTTTGTGAACAAAATGTTCATCTGAGATTCTATTTTAAATTTAGCAACCATATGTACTTATGTGCTTTTTTATTATATTTTAAGTACGTTTTTATTATTGCTTTTTTTCAAGTTTTTTTTCAACCTGTAAGCAATAATCAGATTTAATATTGTGTTATTTCTAAAAATGGAATTTTTAGAAATCTGAATTTTAGAATCTAAAAATTTCTAAAAATAGGTCCAAAAGAAGAAAAAGGTCAATATGAACTGATTATGGAATGATGTATTATACAGTGCAGTACGGTTTCATTACAATAGTATATTTATTATGGATGGTTTAAAGACTTTCTGGAATATGTAAGAAAAGAAAGAAAAATAGAGGAAGTATTGCTATATATTATTCTTACTAAAATAACATGCTTGCTTCATATCTATGCGCTTCCACTAACTTAGTGGAAGAAGAAACTGTGCAGGGCACTCTTACATGGCCTGTTCCAAATGAAATTACTTTGTTGCATGTAATTACAGTTTAAGTACAATAAATGCTCTGTTAAATAATATTAATGTATTTATTAATAATTCTCTCTGCTGGTAAAATTAAAATAATGCCAGATATCCTTGTTAGCAGGAAGTTTGCAATTATATTGACAACAATAAAAAAAAAGTCTGTAAGGATTCAAGATGTGATATTATCAGTTACAAAATGTCAATATATTCAAGATTGTGATATAAGAAAAAATATTTTTAGGATAAGATCAGGGTCAATTACGATGTGAATTTTCAGTGTCATGCATACAGGCAATTCATTGCTTCTTCTCAGAGTTCATTTGGGTTCATTAGAGCTCAAAACCGAAGTGGATAGGAAGTACTGAAGGGAAGTGTCTTTGCATGCATGGTAGACTGCTAAGACTTGAGTTTTAGATTTAAATCCATCTAGGCCTTATGGCTGGTAAGAAAATGCTATCCGCCAGACAGAGATCTAAATAATATAAACTTAAAATGTGTCTTTCATACAAGGAAAAATGTCATGACTTGGAACTGCAAAAACACATCATGGCTCATTCACTTTCATAGAAGCAATGAAATCTGGATATATTTCTAGCTCCATCTCACTATAATGAAAAGAAATTACACAATTATTTTTGTTGATCATTTTTATATTGACCATAAATACTTGGAGATGCTGACTTACGTTGCCATGTAAGACAGTAGTCTGCTCACTGTCTTACATACATCACTTTAACCTCTTCTTAGAGAGAACAAAATCTGAATAGAAAAAAATCACTACTGCAGAGTTAAACCACAGTATTCTCTCATTTTTGCAGAGTTTTTTGAGCACCCTGACTAACATATCTCAGAATGGCAGTAAGTTCAGAGTAGAAGCAGTGTGAAGAGAGCAGCAGATGTTTCTCATCCATATTAATTTACACTACATTGTAAAGTCTAATACACTTCCTTCCCCCAAAGAAGAACAAGAGATTAGTTTCTTAAAGTTATTGCTATATTTATCAGCTCATAACATCATCACTATGCACAATTCTGTGATTTAGATATCATACAAATATTTCAAAATATCGATCTGAAAAAAATGCTCTCCATTTTAATTACAGGCCTATTCAATAAAATATATACCTTTGGTATAATATGTTTTATTGCATATAGCAAGCCATTTTCATTATCATCAAAAATATACTTTAGCACTTGTGAATTACAGGGGACTAATTCCTCAGAAAACTAACAATTTTGAATCAGCTCATAAATACATAGACAGGATAGGCATATACATTATCTGTTGTCAATGGCAAGTGAAAAATATGTAAGAATTCTAAATTTACTGATGATTAAGCTAACTGTCTTTATGCTAATTTATTAGAAGCATTGTAAGACATCATTTTCATTGAAAATACACTTTAAATAAGGCAGGTTTGTAAGAATTTCAATAGTGTTTTTTCTTACATGAAGATTTTATTTTCTTATATGCTGGTCATGCCTCCCTCCCTATTCTGAAATCAGTACACACAAAGCAACAAAACAGAGCAAAGCATCCTCTGAGGATGAAATCACAGTGAAAAAAACTGTGATATAATTTATGTTGTTAATCATGTTGTACCATGCTGCATCACATGATGATACCACAGTAGAAGAGAGCTGGTTATTTACACAGTGGTTCTGACTGGCAAATGTAAACAAAGATGAGTCAAGCACCTCAACAGTGCTTTGACTGGCTAGTTAATCTGCAGGATTTTAATATGTTTATTAGTTCCATCTTGACATAAACAAGTGAGAACATGAGGCACCTATGTTTAAGGTAAGAAGCTGGACATTGACAAAATGTCAGTGGGATTTTCAAGTAAATATGAATGTTTTCTCTCTTTAGTTCATTGCTAATATTAAGTCAAATGTACACTAATCTATGATCCATGAAAGAGGAGATGCTGTTAGATTTCTAGACAGCTAAAGGAATTATATAAATATAGAGTGGCTGTTAGTTTCTAAGACATATAAATTGAAACAAATCTCCAGTACAGCAAGTAATTATTCAAATTAATTGCTTAGATAAGTCTACTTTTCACTACAGAAAACTTTTACAGGCTGTTCAGAAAAACTTAGTATAGTTGGAAAAGCTCAAGTTTAATTGAACATTGGTACAGGTATGAACAATTGAGTACTAAAACGTATGACAGTTGCAGTATCTTTCCAGAGTTAAATATTCCTTCTCTGTAAGGTCAGCTTGAAGGTGAATCCTATTGTCTTCCGACATCAGAGGACATTTTATCAACAGAGATGCATTGTTGCAGGAGTCATGCTGTCTAGGTATACTTCCTCATTTCACTGTGTGCTTCCTCTCAATGAAAAGGCACCTGCTGTCTGTAGAAAGTCCACATAACAGGTCCTGTCCAGAGAGTCATGCATTTCTCCTTCTAGCAGCATCATTAGTCGCATTTTCTCTTTCTTATTTAGATGTGTTTAATTGTTCTAGGTGAATATTATTTTTACAACCGTGTTAAACAATGATTATTTTGAAAAGCTTATCTATGAGAGATTACAAAATAACCTGTAAATCTTATACTATGCCCAGGAGATTAAGTTGAGAAAGATGTCATATGCTCATTCTGTAAATATTTGTAATTTCCCAGGGTGTAATGAGATTATGACTCAAGTAACCAGACAAAATGGCATCCTTACCCACTGTCACTTTTAAAAGCGTAAGTCTTCTTGCAAAGGCTCAGAAATTCCATACCACACAGAATTGAGAAATACTGGTTCTTCCTTGCTTATATTTCTAGGAGGTGTCTCTTCAGAACATGTTTTGGGAAACTTTCCAATTTTGTGAATTACTATGTCTTCAGAAAAAAAGTGACGTTTTGTATTTTTCTCCACCTGTCCCACATGGCTTGAGAAGATGAATCAAATCACTTTTCTTTCTGTCCAGTTTATCCTCCCCTCTCTGTAGCTTTGATAATAATCAGTTGCTTTTCTTCCCCTAAAATCTATTTTGAATTTGAGAAGTCAGTTGGGAATGCCACTACTAGGAAGTCTGGTAAGGTTTAATGTAAATAATTCTTAGAGCTTATTCCCCAAAATACAACCAGATTTCATCTTTTAAAATAAGTTGTCAGAGATTTTTGAATCAGGATCATAACTTGGCCAAAAGATGGGGTAGAGAACAATGGGAATAGTTTTGTGTCTTTTTTCATTAAGCCAGGTAATATGGATATTTCTGTTTCATTCCCTCTCTGATTTGTTAACTCCGTTTGAGAGGAGGAAAAAAAAAAGTATCCATGCATAATTTGTATTGTAATTCCCTCAAGGATATCACTGTGTTGTTATATGAAAGATACACCACTGTATGACAATATCTGTACGTAAAGGCTCTGTAACTCAGATTCCCAAATATCATGCAAAGATTTTGATCAAAGTTCCTTCAATGTGGAATAGCGAATTCAGTATAATATTCAACAGTAGGTCTAATGAAACAGATTTTTTATTTAGATGTTGTGGATTGAAAGTAATAAGGTTCCCATTTTCACACAGAGTCCACCTTCACTTGATTGTTGTTCGTAATCAGCGGAGAAGGTTTACTTCTTATCCTGTCTGCTGCATCATTAGAACTGTCCTGGAAAAAAGCTTTTGCTGTACAAAAACTGACAACAATTTTCTTGTATTCTCTTCTGAAGTTCTGATTCAGGAGTCCATATATGATGGCATTAAGGCAGCTGTTGAAATATGCCATGTAATAGCTAGACACGAACAACCACTCTGGAATCCTAGGGATTATAGTTTCTGGGTCAACAGCCACAGCAAGGCCAATGAAATTCAGAGGAGCCCAGCATACTGCAAACAGTACAAATACCACAAACATGGTTACAAAGTTTCTGAAGTCATGTGGTTTCAGTCTGGGGTTGTTGTCTGGTTTAACCCTTCGTCTTACCTGAATAACAAGAATCCATATTCTCAAGTAACAGTAAGTAACGATGGCTATGGGAAGCATGAAGTGGAAAAACACCACTGCTATTGTATATGCTGAACTCACAGACTGTGCAAATGTGCACGAGTAAATCCTGGGGTCATACTGTAGAGATCCTACAAACAGGTTGGGCACAATAGCAACAACTGTTAGGACCCAGATAAGAACAACATAGCACAAAGAATTCTTGTCGCTGTACAGCTTGTCATATTTGAGACTGTGGCAGATATAGCAGTATCGATTGATAGCAATGCCTGTAATATTGAAAATTGATCCAATGACACTTAGGCCCATCAAGAAGCCACTAATCTGGCAGTGAAGGTATCCCAGATTCCATCCATTGTGAAATACAGATGTGAGGACCAGAGGATATGGATAGATTGCTACGACCAAGTCTGCAATTGCCAGGCTTACCACAAATACATTTCCTGTAAAATAAATATAAAAATACAAGTATTAGTTTCTCATTCTCTCTTCCATTACTTCTGCTCTTAATACATTAATGACCAGACTTAGTGGAACACTTTATATTTAATAAAGTTCTAGTTTCTAGGTTGAAATTAACTGAAAAAATTAAGCATTCTCTCAGGTCAGTTTTCTAATTAAAACAAAGAGACATTATTATAGGGTGTGTTAGCTCTTGGTAGAACTCTCAAAGACAAAGGAATCTGTCATAATTACATTAATTTTGAATTAATCCTTTTAGTGCAGATGATATATTCTCTCTCTCTCTCTCTCTTTTTTTTTTTTTTTTTTTTTTTTTTTTTTTTAAAGAGATGATTACTTTAGTAATAACTCATCTGGATGCCTTCTAGCAATTTTAGGTTCTAAGGAGAAGGTCACAAAATAAAAAAGATACAGCTTCTCTTCTTTTTTAAGAAAAAACTACTGCATACCACATATATGTGTTATGTTATTCATGTTCATATCAACAGAAATGTATACATGTATACATGTTCATATGTATAGGTATACAAATGTGTTTGCGTGTAAGTGCGTGGTAAGATTGTTCACAGAAGATTAAATATAAGCTATTGTAACCTCTAAGAAAATACATTGCTAGCTCAGTAGTAATCAAAATCAGCTTTGGTAAATTGCTTTATGCATTTACCTTGAGAAAAAAAACATAAATAAAAATATTTTAAGAAAAAAAGGTGAAAGTACTTATGGACTAATAGGACATTTAATTTTCAAAAAGTGTTTTACTTGAAAAAAGTTTAAATACATATTCTCTCACTATGCTTTACGTGGTTGTGTAGAAATATTAACTGTGCAAACAAATATAGACAAAAATACAGCAATTATTTAGGTCAGGATTCCACTTATTCCCCTTTTTTCAAACTTTTGATTTTAACATGAAATACTACGTTTGGCATTTATACTTGTAGCAATGGGATAAATGACCTCAGAAGATTGCTACAATACTTTTTATAGATTTTGTATCTGGATTTAGAGATGTCTTTCTTTCTATGGTCTCCATAATTTCTTTTTTTGCCTGTGAATTCATCGCCAGGCTGAAATTTGTTTATCCTGTAGGCTTTAGCATGATTCCAGATCATTTCAGAAGAAACATCAGAGCTCTTTTAAGCAGAAGCTCTGTGTTTAATTTAGGGATTGAGAAATTGAAATGGGATTAAAAGTTGGTAGTAGTGGATTACCAAACATCCTCCCCTGTCTCAAATGCTGTATATTTGATGAAATGGCTACAGATAAATTCTAGTTGGGAAGAAGAGCTGGGATCTTGTTTAAAAAATACTTGAAGAATGCTGTTTCATTTGCTTATAGATTTTTTTCACAGTTAAGACTGTTCATATCAGACCTTTCTCTATGCTATTCACTACAACTTCTGCTGGTGATCTGCATGAATACTGCCATTATTACCAGTATTGACACTCTTGATATAAAAGGTTCAGCTATTAACCAGCTATTAACAAGAGAAATGTTGAAAGAAGTATGGATTTTCTTTTTGCCCTTTTTCAAGTAAAAGAAAGGTGTAATGCTCTTTCTCTCCTTCTCTCCTTCTCTCTTCCTTTCTCTCTTCCTTTCTCTCTTCCTCCCTTTCTCTTCCTCCCTTCCTCCCTTCCTCCCTTCCTCCCTTCCTCCCTTCCTCCCTTCCT